TATTAAATCATAATTTTCTACAATTCTTCACATTAAATAAATTAAAATTTAGTATTATTTTTCATATTGTCTCATCATTATAGTATTTTATAATTTAATATTAATCTAACTTGAGGTAATTATTGAATAAATTGATGAATATTAGCTATAGTTACAGCAAGAATAATGTCATCAATTGATATATTTTCTAATCCATATGATATATTTTCAGCAATTGTTAAATCAAATAAAATTGATTCTTGACTAACAACACTCAAACCAGAAAGAAGCCATTGAACATTTAATTTTCGAATATCAATATCATCAAGAATCTTATTTATATTTATATATTTTTATATAAATACTTGAGTTATATATAGAAAATAAATACTTATCAATTGTCCACCTGTAACATCATAAAATCGTTCTAATAATTGAACTATTAATGATTTTCCACATCCAGATGCACCTAAATCGATTAATATTATATGATGAATAAATGAGAGAACATCATAATTTATTTAGCACATACCAACAAGAGCGGTACGTTGACGTGATTTAATCGATGATTGAAGTTTATTAAGAACAAGAACTGTTGAACGACTTGGATAAATAAATTTAACTTGATTAAATTCTGTTTCTCCATGAAAATTATTCTAAACAATTCAAAATTAAAATATAGAATTAAAAAACAATAGTTTTTTTTACTAATTCTTTTCTTTTATTAGATCCATTATCAATAGTTGGTATTCGATCAAATAAATCAAAAAATGCGTCAGCAGCAGGTAATGATGCACTAATACGACTTGCTCTAAAAATGAAAATGAGAAAAAGAAAAAGAAAATATAAATTGTAATATCTTACAACATTCCAACAACATTTAATGATTGTAATGCAAATATTGCAAATGCAGAAATCCTATAAAAATAAAAACAAAAATTTATAGATTAAAGAAATTATTGTTTTACGTACATAACAGCATTACTCATGTCTAATTCATTGTTTTCAACAAGAATTAAAGCACGCCAATATAAAAGTCCCAGAGTCAATGGAATCAGTGTCCAAAAGAATCCAAACATTATTGCATACAGTACTTCAGGTTTCCAAGACATTCTAAAGAAAAGAAAATTTATTGAAGAATGAAATACATATCTGTAGAAAACAAAAGAGAGTTATATTCGATATTATTCGTCCATTATTGATATCGAAGAACTTCTTTTTGAAAAAATTAATCAAGATTATTAGAAACACTCGGAGTTTTGTTGATTACTTATATATACATATTTAGACTTCAATTCAGATTTGTTCTAACTAGAAAATAAACTGACTTATACAATCAAAGCAACTATATCATCAAATTTCAACTTTCATATTGTTTTTTTCAGTTCGTTTTTACGATTTCTCATTCCTATGCAAGATGACAGATAGTTTCTAGATCTATCAAAACAAATCCTTACTCATTTTCCATAAAAATCTTAGAAATTAATCAAAAAAACGATGATAAAATGCACTTTGTTGAGAATCTATTTATGAGGAATCCTTGACTGCAACTAGTTACAATCTAAATACACAGAACCATAGAAAAATTCGAATAACTTAAAAATAATTTAGATATATTTATTATATGATAGTAGTGTCCTTTAATAATCAATTCTAACTTGTTTTTTCAAATATATATTATTTAAAAGACTAACCTTAAGACTTAATCAATCATATTCGAATATTGTTGTAAAACTTCATTTTCCATTGATAATTGTTTTACTGTACGCATATTATTAATAACTTCAACAGAAAGCTAAAAAGACCAAATATAGAATAAATATTTAATAACTATTTGATCAAATAATATATAATAATAAGATATGATTTTACCGTGCTAACTTGACTTTACATAAGATCAGATTGCGTTTTTAATCATGAATTCAACCGTATATCAATAGAAGTGGCGAAGAGTAGAACAACGAAAGAAATAACTATGATTATTGTTAATTGCCAATTGTAAAAAAATCCAAACAAAACGCCAAAAACAGACATAGCTAAAGCTTGACAAATAACACATAATCTTGTACCAACCATATCTTCAATAGCAGCTGCATTAGAAGAAAGTTGATTACATATTGCACCAGGACTATTTTCAGATCGATCAAGATAAGCAACTTCTTGACGAAGAAAACATCCGAAAGCTTTTGAACGAATTTGACTAACGAATTTTGCACCTGCAATTCCAAAAGTCACAAACTGTAAACGAATATGAAAAAAATTCATTGATATAATTTAGAAATAATATTGTTACTTTAAAAATAAAAAAATGAAGAATTAGAAAAGCAGCACCGAAAAGAAGAAATATACCACTTGTAATCAACACTCAACGACATATATCAGTATATTTACAATCATCTAATTCTAAAATAAAAGAAACATTTGACAGAAAAAAAAACGTATCTTTTATATTGTTAGAATATTCATACGCATAAAATCACGCACATTAATTATTTTTGCGAATAGAATTAAGAAGACTGGTCCATGTAATCCAAGAACTAAGCATATTAAACAACTAATCAAGATAAATATCCATTCGGGACTATTCATCTTCGAAAGTCTAAGAAAGATAGATTTTCCTCTTGTTGACAAAGAAGCTGTCTAAAAATTTATATATTAATAATGATTTTTTAAAATTTATTAGATGTTTTTGTTTTTACCTAATTTATATCAATTATTACGTTCTCGCTCAAATGACGAACACGTTCCACTATCCCAAAAAACAAAAATTCAATTACATTTGCTTTATCTAATACATAGATATAATCAGCATTTTGAATCGTTGTTAAACGATGAGCAATAACTATTGTTGTCCGATCTATAATATAATAATAATAATCTAATGAATAAAAATAAAATAATTCTTACTTTTACATGCTCGATCAAGTGCTTCTTGAACAATTTTTTCACTAACATTATCAAGTGCACTTGTTGCTTCATCGAATAAAAGAATATTGGGTTGTTTAACAGGTGCACGAGCTAATGCAATACGTTGTTTTTCCCCACCGCTCAATTGTATTCCACGTTCACCAACAATTGTTTCATATTTCTATAAACAAACAAAAATGTTAATATAAAATTGAATATTTCAAAAACAAACATTTGGTAATTTCATAATAAATTTATGTGCATTGGCTTGTTCTGCTGCTTGTTCAATTTCTGTACGTGTTGCATTTAATTTACCAAAACGAATATTTTCATAAATACTTATTCCAAATAAAATCTATTTTAATATAGAAAAATTCGAAAGAGACAAAAAGAAGAATGAAAGAAATTTACATGTTCTTGACTAACAACTCCAATATTTTGTCTAAATTGTTTGATTTTATAATCTGTAATTGATTGACCATCAATCATGATTCTGCTTGAGGAAGGATCATAGTAGCGAAGAAGAAGTGATATACATGTACTTTTTCATATTATAATAAATTTCAATATTAAAACGATTATATTTATTCCAAAGAAAAAAAGAAGATTTACCACAACCACTTGAACCTACAAGAGCAATTGTTTGATTAACACGAGCAATTAATTTAAGATTATTCAAAGTTGTTACATTTTCTCTCGATGTATAAGAAAAAGTAACATTATCAAATTCAATATCACCATTAATATTAGAAATTAATTTTTCATCAGATATTTTCTCTTCTAATATTTCTTTTTCATTTAAATTTTCATCATGTACCTATATCATGAAATAAATTAGAAAATATTATTATCAAGATGGTTTAATCTCTATAGTATTCAATGTATTTTACTTCATCAATAAGTCGAAATACAGATACTGCTGCACTTTGAGCTTCCGAAATTGATTGGAAGAGAGGACCAATTGAAATGAGAAGACTTAAAGCTTGTGCAAACATATTTACAACCTAAATGAAAGTTTGTTTTTCAGTTATTTTCTTATATATTAATATTATAGATCACTAACGATAAGAATATCACTGATGGTTAATCTATGATGAGTTCCATAAGACATGAGAATGGAACCAAAAGTAAAACCAATTGAATAAACTACGAAGTTTATAAAAATTAACCAACCAAAAAAAGCACCAAATGCAGCATCTTTCCTCACAGTACACCATTCATTTAATTTCGATTCTTTTTCATATCTAAATAGAAGATAAATATGATAGAATTATTTCTTTCTTTATTTATTTACTGTTTTTGTTGACATTTACTTCCATTGAATGAAAGAACAGTTCTTAATGAACTAAATACTTCTTGAGCAATTTGTCCAGCTTTTGAATATGAATTTAATTGTTCTTCTGTTTCTTTTGTGATGAGCTAGAATTATTAATAAAGATTTTAATAAATTAAATAATTATTTCTATACTTTAGCAAATAACAATGAACTACCAATAACAATTGGAATTATACAAGACATAATTAAAGATAATTTCCAATTGAGAATAAAAGATATAATTATACTGAATATCAGAACTAAAATAAGTCCAATTACTACCATAAATTCAGCGCCCATTCCATTTTTAATCTTTTCAATATTACTAGAAAAGAAAATCGATCATATATATAGAATTGTTCATTGTATTTACTTACGTAAAAAGCTTTGAATTATATTGAGTTGTTTGATTTGTATCCAAATATTTCATGTTCCAAAAAGAATGAAAGAAAAATAAGAAGATTATTTTATGTTAAATCATAATTTAACAAATAAATAAATAAATTTAATATTATTTTCCAAATTGTATCAATAATAAAATTCTCTATTTTTCTACGGTAAATGTACCTTGAACATGATCTCTTAAGACTTATTTTTATTATTATACTCGTCTCTTATATAATCTGCATTCTTAAATTTTTATAATTTAGTTGTTATACTAAACATGTTTTTAGAATTCTTGGTTTGTTGATTAAAGAAATATTTTGAAAAAAGAAAAGTAGAAATTGAGTTCAGAATGATTTAATTAATTTTGAATTATGTATGATTTGGAACAAGACCAATAAATCAAATAAAGTGTATTTGAATTTGTTTAAGTTACTTTTCAATCGACGTTAATCGTTGAAGAAATAAAAACACTTGGTTGAATTTAAGTCATCTAGTGAAAATTCGATACTATGTATTCAATTTCGACTTATAATCACGAATGAGAAAGTATTTTATTCATGTAAAAAAATATCTGAACTTACACGTTGAATAAGTGATTGAAAGATAAAATACTAATGCGAGATGTTTGTCGTTTCGCAGCAGTTGTCCAACAGATATATACAAGAGAAGTAGATAGAAATTTAAGAATACTAAAACGTACATTGATACAGAGAAACAACAAATCGTTTGTTTTTTTTAATTGAAATCATCGTATTCAATAGACTTACCGAAAAACTAATAAGCTACATGTATAACATTTTGTCGAAATAAAGTTGTTAATGGAGATAATCTGAATGAATTAGTTTTATTATGATAATGGCATAGTCTACAAACGAAACGTTTCTTAGTAAATTACTTATGTAATTGATTTTAATTTAATAAATTAAGATCAATACCAAGAGGACATATATTATTATTGATAAGTGAAGATCCTACATTTTCATACATAACATGAACTGGAGAAAATGTATTTGCTTAATACTTTTATCGATTCAGCTATTTCTTTTACTTTGAATAACATTTTCATATATAATATGAAAGCGAGTAAATGTATTTGTTTATTCGAGATTTTCATTCAGCTACATCTTTTTTTTCATATACAATATGAAATGGAGCAAATGTAGTTCCGTATGCAAGAATTCGATTCAGCTGAATCTTCGTTGCATTTTCATATATAAGACGAAATCGAGTGAATGTATATACGTTATCGAGAAATCGATTGCGCTGAATCTTTTTTCCTTTCATATATAACATGAATACGAATGAATCGGTTCGATTCTTCAGCTATTTCGTTTTCCCCTTCATTTTCATATATATAATATAGAAACGAGCAAATGTACTTGCTTATTCGAAATTTTGTTTCAGCTATTTCTTTTTTTTCCTACAAACTATCGTATATCGTATGAAAATGAATGAATCGATCCGATTCTTCAGCTATTTCGAATTTTCCCTTCATTTTCATATATAAAATGAAGTCGAGTAAATCCATTGCATTATTCAAGATTTAGATTCAGCTATTTCATTTTTCCATTCTTATATATAATATGAAAACGAGCAAATGTATTTGCTTAATCGAAATTTTGTTTCAGCTATTTCTTTTTTTTCTACAAACTATCGTATATCGTATGAAAATGAATGAATCGACCCGATTCTTCAGCTATTTCGTTTTTTTCCCTTCATTTTCATATATATAATATGAAATCGACCAAATGTATTTGCTTATACAAGAATTCGATTCAGCTGAATCTTCGTTTGCATTTTCATATATAAGACGAAATCGAGTGAATGTATATACATTATCGAGAAATCGATTTAGCTTAATCTTTTTTCCCTTCATATACAAGTAACGTTCGTCGTATCGACTCACTTCACCCTCGACTGTAGGAGGCAGAAGTCTGTTTTTGCATGCACCATTGTAGGAAGAATTGATCTAGCAACTTTATACGAGTATAGGTAATTCAAATCTCTTTGCTTAAATCGTACTATTCGAAAAACAAAACTAAATCTTTTTGTAAAATTATCCAGGATAAAATATTTTTATCAAAAGATTGGATTATTATAAGTATTAACAGTTGCATACAAAATTTTATAAAAGTGAGAAAGAACGTTAGAACCACTGAGCAAAACGCAGTTGTGTCGCTGCATATATTTTATCTAGTCTTTCGATTTCAGCGAGTTGAGATTTGCCTGGTTTGATTGATAAAACTTTGTAATCGAAATATCTTAATATAGCTGCATCATCTGAACATTTCACACGTGACAATGGTACATAAATTGCAGCAAGATCGTCAGTTCCACTTGGTAGTTTTAAATCAATTACAACTTTATTTAACGTTTGACCTTGACTTTTATGTGTTGTAATAGCATATGCAGGGACAATTGGTAATGCACGTCGTTTAATCGATAAAAATGTCTTGTGATTTGATTTTGGTTTCTTATCTTTTGGTAGAATATCAGCTAAATTAATGCGAAATGTTTGTTCCATCAATGGTATTGGAACGAGATTTGATTGAAGTTGTTCGAAGTTACATTCAATCTTCGATTTGACGATTTCAATTATGGCGTATAAAGGTTTACGTATATATCGTGTATTGGTAGGAAATGTTTCTGAAACAACGTCTGTTGAAACAGAATCTTCTTCATAAACAAGTTGTCGAAAGATTCCATTAATAAGGCCCAATTCTATAGCAATATTTTGTGTTAAAATGACAGGCATTCCAGGAACCAAAGGTAAAAGACCAGGTAAATGCTCTGTTTTACTATCACACAGTTCTAATAATTTTTTAACTAATCTTGGATCTTCAATTGGTTTGCCTTTACAACTGTCTTGAGCTATACAAACCATGAGCGCTTGTCCTATCTCTGCTGCCTTATGAATTGCTGCCTTGTTGTTCAATTTTGTCCGTACTGCGTTTCGAAATACGAGAATGGGCGCCTGAAAAAATAAAGATCGATAATATATTTAAAACAAAAAGAAAGTTTTACTTTATCCCACGGTGAATCAGAAAGAGACTTCACTGATGGTTGACCTACAACTCGTGATAACAGCAGCTCATAATCGTCACGATCACATTTTCCATGACGAAGGTTATCGAGAAGCTGAAGATATCGACGATCTTCCGTTCGCATTTGCTCAGTGAGTTTTACAACACAGTTGATTTGCAGTATTAAAGAACGTGCAACGCGTTGCTGTAGTTCTTTTTCACTGAGCAATTTATCTGATTTTTGTTTCGATGGTAAAGAAAAATCAGTATGTAATGGTGCATCATAGATAGGTCGGTACTGCAAATAGTCACCGAAGAAAATAACGTTTATGCCACCAAATGGAATATTAGGATCGACATGTTTTGCAGAGCAAATGATTCGATTAAGTTTTGCTAACAGATGTAAACCAACCATACTCATTTCGTCGATCAACAAATATTCGACTAGTCGCCATTCCTTTTCAAGTTTTAAATCACCTGGTTTGATTGTTCGTGGCGTTCTAGAATTACGCTGTTCACCTAAAAATGAATGAATTGTCATACCACCAATTTCAGCAGCTGCAATTCCAGTAGGTGCTAATTTACGCATCATCTGCATTCTTTTGGTGGCAACGAAATATTTACTAAGAGCCCGAATAAGTTGTGATTTTCCTGTACCACCACATCCAGGTATGCACATTATAAGTTGACCATTATTATCACCTAGAAACATGATAAATATTAATTTTTAATAGATCATATTGAAAAATACCTGTACGACAGTCACTATCACCATCAAGATGACTTGTAATAATCATGAATGCAGCACGTTGTTCTCTATTTAATGTAAATTCACGAGCGATACTTTTTTGCGTGGGAAAGTCGCTGGTAACTGACATAACTGGAAGAACTGAATCGCGATTTCCAAGATTGTTATTATCACCATTACTATTTGGATTCATCACTGTTACAATAGCATCTTTTGCAACCCAGGTCGAGCATTACGACGACTGTAAACGGCCGTATACGGTCGTTTCCAATGACGTTTACGGTCGTAAACGGCTAAATTACGATCGTATACGTGCCGTAAATCACCGGTTTGGTATGGGTCGTATTACGGTCGTATGTCGCCGTGTCGTATACGACGAAAAACGAACACAGTCTACGCTGAGATCTGTACCGTAATACCGCCGTATTCTTACGGCGACGACAGTATTCACCGCCGTTTAGGATCGTATTCCAACGTAACCGACCGTCATAATTTATAATTTCAATAGGATTACACTAGGATTACAACAGAATTACACTTGGATTACACTCGGATTACATCAAGATTACACCAGGATTACACTACGATTACACTAGAATTACATCAGGACTACACCAGGATTACACTACGATTACACTAGAATTACATCAGGATTAC